CTCCCATGTGGGTGAGTGTCTCTGTGTTCTGTGCTCAAATATGTGGCTGTAAGATTGATTCTCAAGCCTTCTAACATGGCAAGAGTCACTTGCATTTTGAGTGTCTCTGTAAGACTTGGTGGTCAGAGCACTACAAAAGGGTGTGTCCCGGGGAAAAGAATCCTTGTACCTAAAGCAGGGGTCCTCAAACTACAGCCCGCGGGCCACATGCAAATACAAATATTGTATTTGTTCCCGTTTTGTTTTTTTACTTCAAAATAAGATATGTGCAGTGTGCATAGGAATTTGTTCATAGTTTTTTTTTAAACTACAGTCCGGCCCTCCAATGGTCTGAGGGACAGTGAACTGGCCCCCTGTTTAAAAAGTTTGAGGACCCCTGACCTAGAGGGTGGGTGTCCTGGGACAGAACACGGAGGAGCTGAAGGCTTGTGCTTTTCTGATTTTGCCATAAGCTCATCTGCTCTGAATGTGTAGTTCTGATTCCTGTAAAGCCCAGTGTCCCCACTGCTTGTCCTGCTGGGAGTTAGCAGCTGCAGGATGTCGACCTGGAAGGAGCGGTGGACACACTCCGCAGTTCCTGGTCCTCTTCCCGTTGAGGCCTGCAGGGCGGTCTCTCTCTCTCACTAACTCACCTTTGCTTCTGCTCTGTAGCTAGCAGTTCAGAGCACGGGCTCTGGGGTCAAACTGCCTGGTTCAAACGCCAGGACAAGGTACTTAACTTTTCTGTGCCTCCACGTCCTCCTCTGAGAAATGGAGATAATACTTAATTCAAAGGGCGATGGAGAGGGTTCCTGAGCAAGGGCTCAGCGCGTGGTCGCTGTCACTATGATGCTGTTTTCCGTCTGTCCTCATGGAAAGTGGTTTATTGAAGTAGATCATTGAAGTGAGGCCACGCAATCAGCTCCTTTCCCTGGTACATGGTCGAAGGCTGGGTGGGAAGTAACTGGGCGCTTATTCTTATTTCTAATTCATACAGTGACCCTTTTACCTACAGTCACTTCATTTATTTGTTTCATGTCAGTTACATTTGCTAAAACTTCTGACGGGCTCACATCCTAACCTGCATTTCCAGCCTGAAGCCAGATTAGATGACTGAAATATTGGCAAATTAATTGTGATCCTCGTGTGAAATTGTGAAAGAGGTTTTTCTTCCTTTGCAGCCGTATTGAACACCTCAAATCCCAAAATGACCTCCTGACCATAACCCTGGAAGAATGCAAAAGCAACGCCGAGAGGATGAGCATGCTGGTGGGCAAATATGAATCCAACGCCACAGCTCTGCGGCTGGCCCTGCAGTACAGGTGGGACGCGGAGGGGCGGGCCACTGTCACGCAGAAAGGCATCCGTAGTAACCTTCTGCATACAGTGGAAAGCAGGCTTTTAGAGGACATCCTGGGGGGTTGGACCAGCAAATACTCGTGTGATACATATTGAAAATCAATGAGCACCCTGTCGCCATTAAGGAAACAAGAGTAATGGGTATGGTGTTAGTAAAGAAGTATGTGTCTGCCAGCACATTCAACTTAAGTGTTATTTCACTCAAGTAACGTCAGTCAAAATATCAATCTTTGCATTACATATTCATTTGTTGTTCTTTTCAGTATTTATTCATAGTCATACATATTTTACGTTGTTGTAAATCTAGTGCATTCCATTTCTTCAACGTGTTACAGTTGTGTAATGTTGCTTAGGAGTCTCCATGTACTTTGGCTGGATCTCCTGCATCAGGTTTATATATTGTTTTTTTTTATTTACCCATTTTTCTGAAAGACTGGTGCAGACTTTGACATTGAAAATAATTCTATGGTGAACAATTTAATGCAGATAATGTCTTCATTCTTTTTAACATTTTCCTGGGGATAAAAATACCTGAAGCAGAAATTGTAGGTCAAAGGATAAGAATATTTTCATGACTCCTCAGGCGAGCCGCCCATTTTTCCCATAAAAACAAGCCAGTCTGAGTAACTATGATGCATTCACTGATGAGCAAGTAGCGTATGAATGTACCACCTCTTTTAAGCCTCATCATCTTTGGAATTTATCTACTTTGAAATGACTGCTTTTTAATCGCTACCAAGGTATGCCTGTGACTGTCTTCATAGGTTGATGTTATTAGTGTCACCACCTACGCATGCTTGCCAGGTTCCCAGCGTAGTGATTGTATCTTCCTCTTGGCATCCTCTAAAAAGCTCAATATTGTTTTAAGAAACATTGTTTCTTCAGGAAACAAAATCAAACCAAAATATACAAGAGAGCAGGCGCACTTGCTCACAGGCACACCAGAGCAAACAGGTAGCCCAGTGTGGCTAACGCCGAACCAGGCTGCTCACACCACGGGCTGCCTTCCATCCCCGCATCTCTACCCTGGGAGGGGGGGCTGCCAGCACCCAGGGCTCCTGACGGGGGCCCTTTCCTTATCTCTCAGTGAAGGAAGATGAAAGGAAAGGCAATCAAAAAACAGATGGTCTGTTGAGTTCAGCAATATTTCCCCTACTCAGCGGGAAGACGCTGGTCAGTTATTTGCTTAGGGGTGGATTTTCACGGGCATCTTGTCCCAGACCACTCGGCACTGTGCACGTGGCTGTGGCTCCCTGTGGCTCCGTGCGGGTCACCAGGGCGTCACCAGCAGCAATGAGAAGGGATCACTTTTTGATCTTGGCTTTTATATGTATAGATTATTATGTCACAGTTTTTAGGGTCAAGAATCTGGGAGTGATTTAGCTAGGTGGTTAAGATTCAGGGTCTTTTAAGAGGTCCTGGGAGCCGTCCACCAAAGTACCGTGTGGAACTGGACTAAACGGGT